TGATGTAAGAGTTATTTAGGGACGTAGCCCTGAATTTCTTACTGWATCGGGAATGACCTGATTTACAGAAATAAATTATTTATTATGCATTGCTTAAATACTTGTGGCTGCAGTGCTCAATATATATCAATAATATTCTTACAAATACTTTCTGTCCCTAGAAATAGTGCAGGTGAGTAAAAGAAATGAGGACATTAAGGGCTGTTGTTCARTTTAATCTGTCCAGGTAGTAAAACTGCTCTGAGTATTTTTGCAATCTGGAATAATTCTCAGTTTTTTTTCTTTGGGGCTTAACATTTGCAAACTTGAGCATGTGTTTTGGTGTCTCCCTGAATTACTRCTTGCCTAATTTAGGATACTTAAGTAAATTATTTTCTCTGGTATGTTATTAAGCTACACACTGAACACACCTTGSAGTCTGTGTTGGCAGCTTCTGTACTGTTTCTTAGTGTTATATAGCCCACACTGTTTCATGCTCTTCACTTTTTAAAGTTTCTTGCTGAATCGACTTTCTAATTGCTATAAAAACCTAAACTTTTTCTGATCTACAAATCTTAGGTATATAAGTAACCTAAAAAGAAAGCCCTTAACAATCACAATTTGGAAGTACACCCCCTAGCTCAGTAATAACATGGATTTCTAGGTGGTAACCATTGTGAAACATATTTGGATTCTCTTAGTTATAAAACAGAGGGATCAAAAGATAATGGATGGATGCCAACAAAATGGATTTTAAATAATATGAAATGTGCTATGTTTCAATAAAATGCAAACTTAGTTCAGTGTGCTGGATTGCAGGCATAAGAGTATTTTGCTGCGTATTTTGGAGTAGATGAGAAATTTTCTCCTTGGGAACTGATTTTGTCTRAAAATGCTGATGTGATTCAGTTAAAACGCTCTGTGGGAATCCTGGCAAAGCTCTTGATGGAATTGATAAAGTTGCCTTGGTGCCTTCCTGCTGTGCTGGAGCTGCCAGTTCCTGGCAGGCACATGGGGGCTGCACCATGCTCCTGTTCCCCTCCCAGGCTGTGGGGCCACACACCCTCCCTGTGCCTGGTGGGGAGGAAGAAACTGTTCCAAAACTCCTGCTTCAGAGTCAGCAGCAGTCTCTTTTCCCAGAGTCTCTGGGAAAAAAAAAAAGAATTGGTTTGGGTTTTTTTTGTTTTTCGTAAGACTGCATTGGTCTCCAAATCACTTTCTTGGAGTGGGGCTTTTCTTTAACTTTACCATAATTTGGAGTTAAAAAGAAGATGGGGGCAAAAAGAGGTTTCAGAGGGAATGCTTTGTAGGGTGAGATTTCTGCTTWACAGCAGGTGCTAATAGGGACTGAAGGAGGGGGCTGAAGGGCTACATGCACAGATGGTGATAGACCRTGCTGTACCAGTCTGGGAAAATGATTAATCAATACTACAGGGACTTATTCTAGCACTAAGTTCTTTTAATTTGGCCTTATGTTTGTCTGYTCAGGAGTTCTGTAAGAGAATGTTCTAAATGTGATGCTGATTCAAGATCATGGTGGGTTTTGAAAGTAATAAAAACTGYTCTCTGGRTTTAGCTGAATCTTGATGCAAATGGCAGTGAAGAGAACAAATGTTCTACCCATGTTTCTAATTGCAAGCTGCATCAATATGGCTTGGATTTTGATGAARGGGACTTGGGAAAATAATACTTAGGAATAGCAAATAAGTGAGCAGGATGTTTAATGTGTGTTTTTCATAGTCCTATTGCACGTTCATTACTGTAGGTAACCTTCATTCTGATACTTCCCAAATRTTGAGAGTTTGCATTTCCAATTTCATTGTTCTCTTAAAAGAAGCCCTGTTAACTTCATAAATCTTGTTTTTGAGAAAATTAAAAGGAAAAAAATATACCAGTGTAATTAATTAATAGCATTTAGGTTCCTGATGCATTTCTTTGCTTCATGAGTTACTGGAGGATGTTGTCATCATTTATGGAGGATCAGTGCTGGAGCAAGGAAAATGTTTTCCAGCAACCACAAGACTGCTTATCTCTTCTTTAATGTTAGTCATCTTCCTACTGCTTGATTTTTCCTCCTYGTTCTGTTCTGCTCCCTCACACAGGTCAAGATTTTCCTTACTTTTTTTTTTTTTTAATTCTTACTGCCTTGGAATTTTCTGCTAGAACCTCTGTGCTGGGTTCTGTTCCGGCTCTTAGGCACTTCCTTGCCCCTGATGCTCCTTGTCCAAAACAAGTCACCTTTTTTCCTAATCACAGCATGAAGGCTTCCTCTTCAGGATGTACTTCCAGTACTTCCCCRAGTATTGGCAAACAGTTCTCCCTACAAAGTGGTTCATCACATCTTTTTTTCCTGCTCTCAGCTTCAGCTCTTCATTCTGTCCTCGCTCTCTCCTGTTTGATTCCCACCAACCTGCTGACAGCAATTCCCTCTCCCAGTATACACATTTTCCCTGATCAGTTTTTAAAATTTGTCCTGACCCTCTCCTTCCATTTCTCCTTCATGCCCCAAGTCTTTCCCAGCTCTTTTCATTCCTCTTTTTGTCCCCATCATTGGTCTGCTACCTTTTTAGTATTTCAGCTTCTTCTCCCACTTGGATACCACCATTCAGTGGTGAAGTGACTGAGGTTGCTGGAAAGGTAGACCTGAATTATCGGTGGGGACTCAACCTCAATCCAGCAGGAGCTATATTTAGAGGAAAAATAGCCTTGAGCTGAAGAACACTTGCTGCCTCCGTCAAAATGGCTCTTGATTGGATCTAATGTGTGTGGGAGGGTGGAGCACACCCCTGAAATCCTCAGAGGTTTTAAYCAGATTCTTAAAAATATTTATTCTCTGTTTGTAAATATGTGTTGGAAGCAGGGAGAAGGGCACTGAAGGGACCGGAAGGTTCTTTCAGGGGTCTTTGGCAGGATTATGATGGCACTAAATCATAAGGACAATTGAAGAGTTATTTTCTTAACAAGATATAATGATTAGTATAGCACAGAATATATTATTAGAATGGCACGTGAGTTCTACAAGCAGAATCAATATTGTGCAATTTATAATTAGCAAAACACAGAATTTGTAATACAATTTCACTTATAATTCCTAATCACCTCTGCACATCAAGACAAACCTCTAATACATGTTTTGCTGTATCAATACAACAATCATAATCTAGACTGGACATTTACTGGGGGTCTGTTCCAAGACCCCCACTGGGACTGGTGACTTCTCAGTTTACAGACCAGGTTCTGGTTATGCTAACCATGTTTCCAGAGCTTGGGAGCAGGAGGTTACAGAACAACCCCAGAGCAGCTGGTTTTGATGTGAACAATTTATTTGGAAGAGACCTAAGCAACAGAGGGCTGGTTTACAAGGGAATGTTGTTGACCATATTAATGATAATAGGTGCTCACAGGCTTTCTCTTAATACCAGTGATGGGTATTAATAACAATTGAGGATGTTTTATGCTGGAGGAGTGACCTACATGGGATTGAATGCCATGGTGTTAACTTCTGTGATGGGAAGAAGTTACTTAGAGTAACAAAAAGATGCATTAAAAAAGAAGGCAACATGTAAACCAAAGTCACATAAGGCTGAATAGCAAGATTGTYAAATAATATGCTATAGGGTGTTATTTTCAAGGAATTAAGAAAAATTCTCTTTTTTAAAATGTATGCACAGATGAAATGCACGAATATCCTRTAAGGAAGCACTTTCATCTTAATGGGAAGAAGATGGGGAAACAAAATATTCCTTTAATTTGTGTCCTCTTAAAGAGCATATGTTTGAGTTACAGAAATGCAATATGTAGTGTAACCTCAAGTGGTGTTCACAAAGCTACTTGAAACAGGCTGCTACTTTTCACTGTCATGCTTAAGTAGGACATAGAGCCCCTAAATAAGCATGGAAATTTAAACACAAGGAACAAAAACCAGGCTCTGATCCAAAGCCAGTTGAAGCTGATTAAAGACTGCTTGTGGCCACTGAGTGCTCTGGCTTAAGCCACTTGCAAGCTACAATTGAGTTCCAGGTGTTCAGACAGACTTCTCAGGTTTGTTAAGTTTGTGGGTTTTCCTTCAGCTTTGTCTTCAAGGTATTGTCTGTGATTATAGGAGATGTCCCAGTGTGTACAGTGCCTGAAGTCTTACATATTTTCACTACTGAGTTCTAAAAATAGTTAAGTTGACTATTATCTACTACACTTAATCACCAGATCATGTATCTTTCTTTTTTTTATGGCTTGACACTATGCAGGGTTAAATCACAGGTATACCTAGGGATGATCTACTTACTTGTGTAAGATATGCCCACAATTCAAATACAGATGAGGAAAATACCTTTGCATTATTTGCAGTTCTGTGTTAGGCTAGTTTTAATGTGCTCCTTCATTCTTCCCATCCTGTTAGTTCTCTAAATTATTCAAGCAAGGAAACAGAAGAGAGGAATGTGTTTTTCATATTAGAAGGATCTGTAGAGTTACAAATATAGGTTAAAGTGTGAGGTGATGGTCTGCCTGACTCAGATGACTGTTTCCTTTTACTTGTTTGCATGCTTATCTTCTGTTTTAGAAGTAGAAAATAAAATATTTACATTTTATGGTAATGTTTTTTTGAGTGCAGTCCAAGTTAGTTCCCTCACTTAATTTCACTTGGCATGTTTCCCCCCTTATGTTCAGGCCAGCCTGTAAGATTAAATCTGYATGTAGTTTTAGCTATCTGTGCACTGTGTCTCCAGTTTCTTCCAGCTGAGAAAAGTTGGAAAGTCASTTTTGGAATTGAGTGAAGATTTCATTCCAAATGTTAATACAAGTGTGGAGCTTGTTCCCTCTTCCAGCTGAGCTCTTTTCCTTATGTACTAATCAGCAATAAAATTTTCCACAGTACAAAAAAGGTTTTTGAAAAACTCTGACCTGCAATTCTGTAAAGCATCCTGAAGAGTGGGTTTTAGCATTTGAGAGTAAAAATGTTCGCATCAGTTTGGGGGATAAATTGGAAATGGTTTTAACTCATATCTTTTGTATTTGGCCTCTAGGTTCCAGCAAGATGTGGAGTGACAGTCCGAGACAGCCTAAAAAAAGCGCTGATGATGAGAGGTCTTATTCCAGAATGCTGTGCTGTTTACAGAATACAAGATGGGTATGGTTTGTGTGGGATGCTTTTTTTGCTCTTRGAATCTCTTACTGGAGCTACCCAGGATGGCGAGTTCTATCCAGAAGTTGTTAGCAAAGTTCAGAATTACATGATAGTTTGTACTAAACAATTGGCACATCACAGACATGTTGAAAAGAATGGCAGACTCCTAGGAAAAGGCTCAGGCATGATATTGAATCAAATGAGAGTATGGCAAAACACTCATTAATCAAACTCATAGTAATCAAACAAGTATTAAATGGGTTGTGTTAGCTTCTTCATTTTGTTTCATTTGGCTATAATGCATTCTTAACTGAAGACAGAGTTCCCTTGGGAGGAAAAAAGGGTTTTCAGCCCTCAAAATTTGTACATTATCTTCATGTACACAATTAACCATCTCTGTGGAACTGTTAGACAACAGGTACTTCCAAACACTTTATTTGATCAAAAAGGCACCTGCCACATTGGAAACAAGAAATTGGCCACTATTGGAGCTGGTTGAAAAAGTGCATTTCCTTCATGCAGTTTGTCCAGAGAAGATGTGCTTTGTTTGCTATGTAATGAGCCTGAGGTCTTGCTGCTAAAGTTTTCTGCAGTTAGACTGGGTAGCAGCCTCCCACAGTGTAACTTTTTAGCTGATCTTACAATTTTGGCAASAGACATGCAAGGGCTTGTGTGCTGATGCTAATGAGAGGCTTATTTGCACTTTAGAGAGAAGAAGCCAATTGGCTGGGACACAGACATTTCCTGGCTCACRGGAGAGGAGTTGCATGTGGAAGTTTTGGAGAATGTGCCACTCACAACACACAATTTCGTATGTACTGGGTTTCGTGAGATGTTCAGTGGGGTTACATCAACTTTGTACTTTCAAATCCAAATTACCAACTTGGATTATTTTGCATCTGTGGGATGTGGTGGGAGTTGCAAAAGAAGTTTTTGATCACAGTAGCTGAAGTGAATTAGCTAGAATTGTATTTGAAATAAGTGATGTTAGAGTACTTGATCACCCTTAAAGCTTTCATGTTTGGTTGGAATACACCCTCTAAAATCTATAAATGTAGGGGGTTTAAATCAGCACTGCATTGCAGAGCTGTAATAATAATCTACTATTTTTGTATTGCTGTATCTATAAAATGTATTCTGGGCCTCCCTGCTGGCTCTGCAGCAGCAATTAACTAATGAACTAACTATTCCCAGAGCAGTGCTGACATCATCAATGATGTAGTGCACAAAAATGTTTTGACCTGATAAGGCACCAAGTAAATGGAAGCTGCTAAACAGAATCTGTCTGAATGTTTCCAGCTACATACAAAATCCTGGAAATAATGTTTGTCACATTGGGAAGACATACCTTCTGTTTCAGTTTAAAACACAGCAAAATTCTGAGAGCTGATTCAGCCTATTTAGGTCAAACAAGCTCTTTGGGCTATGGCTAGTTAGGTGAAATCCAGTAGGCTTAATGTTTTTTTATATCCTTCTGAAATTCTGATTAGTACATGTAATAATAGAAATAAGAATTTGTTTTTTTGCTAGGTATTGCTAAATTTGGAAATTAACTAAATCATTCCCCCCCTATAATTTGGAGATAATACATGATCACCCTTCTGTGATTCTGAATGTTTCTGAGCTTCAGTAATCAAAATTACAACTATGTGTGTAACCATACATTGAAGCCCTATATATAAGCCAGTGTGCATTTCCAGTCCTGTGAGTGTTAGATARAAATGTTCTTTGGCTTCTGGAAAAATTTGAGTATAAAATAATATTTCAGCAGCTTTTGTCTATAAGTTGTATCCAAATTTGTCTAGCATAATAGTGACATTTTGCTTCAGGTTTGTTGCCCTTTTTCTTACTGCTAGTGAAGTGATGAATTAATTCCAAGAAACAGTTGCAAGCAAGTTTTAATGCATGAAAACTATTTCAGAAAGGAGACAATCTTTTATGTMAAGATGTTCGATACATAAAACTGTAGCTCCAGCATCACCCAAGAGGCTTGTGAGCACACTTGAGGGAGGTAAAAGCAAAAAACCTATCTTGGGCTTACAGGAGAACTCCATGTAAYTGGGATTATTTTTGACAATGTAGGTACGAAAAACGTTCTTCACGTTAGCGTTCTGCGACTTCTGTCGAAAGCTGCTTTTCCAGGGATTCCGGTGCCAGACCTGTGGCTACAAATTTCACCAGCGCTGTAGTACAGAAGTGCCACTGATGTGTGTTAATTATGACCAACTTGAGTAAGTAATCACAATTGATTTTCAAGTTGAGCCTTTTAATAAGTGTACAGCTGTCAGTGATTTCTTGTATTAAATCTGTAATTCAGGAAGTCAGAGGAGGTGCCTGAAAAAAAAATAATTCAACTGTTCTTGTGAGACTGCTTAATTCATACTCCTGTGCTAGCTCAGACAACCAGTTCATATTTCTTTGCTGGTTGATGAAGTGCTTTTTTTTGAAGCGTGAATARGGTTGCTGAGCACTTGACTGTATCAGACAGACTTCTCATTGTTCACAGTTGTTATTACTAATCAAAACTGGTTCTTTATTATGTGATCGCTAGGGCCCTGTTTAAAATTTTGGCTGTGTGTTTCTTCTCTGCAATCTGAAAAAATGTTAGAGACCCTAGTTGATTATAGTGAAATTGCAGTTGGTTTTACAATAATTGAAAATAAATCTGCTATCAAGATTAATGCCTAGGTGAGAAACATAAAAGAGAATGTCCCTGACAGTCCAGTGTTCTTGGATTGAGTTACTGATCTRTTTGTGTAAGTCTTTGATGTAGATTTAGGATCTGGTGTAAACCAGCTCTGTTCAATTTGATTAGTTTCAGCAGAGGCTATTAAGTCTTTTAAATAGGATTTTATATAAGGAATAATTTCACATGCTATTTTTCTCCCCAAGAATGAATTCAGTTTCAGCTTATTTTGTTTCCATTGGCACCTCTGGAGTTTGTGCTCAGGGTGTAAATTTATGTACTCATAGATATAAGTTGTGCATTCTTAAAGAACCAGATGTTTCCAATTTGAACTAAAAGATTAAAAAGTTAATTTCCACAAAGTTTATATTTAAAGCATGATCTTTTGATCCTTTGTGAAGTAAATAATACTTTTAACAAATCTTGCAGATTTAGTGTATTACTGTAATCATTACTTTAAAATTTAGAATTTAATCAATGAMGTTTTGGGGTYTGGGGTCTTTTTTTGTAGTCTTTGAGTATTATATTGTGAAACTTCTGGGTTTTGCACAAGTTAGGTTGTTTTTGTTTTGTTCTTGCCTCACAGTTTGCTGTTTGTCTCCAAGTTCTTTGAACATCACCCCATACCACCGGAGGAGGCCTCCTTAGGAGAGACCACCCCAGCATCTGGATCATACCCCTCAGTGCCCCCCTCAGATTCTGTTGGGTATGAACCTTATTCCTGCTATTTAATAACATAACATTTCAGTACTTTGCTTAGAAACACTCAAAATACTGCTTTGCAACTCTGCGTTTTTGTAATGTGGCTTGTCATGCGAGTATATCCACCTATGCTTAACTTAAAAGAAGTGAATGTTTTCATTCACATCATTTCTCTAAATTAGCAATGAGCCTAAGTTAAATGTGTGTGTAACTGACTGTAGACTTGGGGTATTACTTGTTAAACTGATTTCTTCTACATGATGTCTTAGACCTGGTCTAAACTGGAAAGATTTTTATACTTAAAATTAATATAACCCAAAATTATATCCTCACGAATTCTTTTAGTTGGTTATCAAACTACAATTTTGATATCTCAGGTTTCAGAATAATCCACATTAAGGCTGATGTGAACAGGTGCCAGTTCCAGTTTCATAATACTGCTTTAGTAGCTTTGCCACATACACTGCTTTAGTATCCTCCAGACCAGCTGTCTTCTTCCTGTTTGTGTTGGGTTATTATCAAACAGTAGTATCTGTTTGCTGCAGCTCCAGGTTTTGTAAAAGTGGACATCTAAAACTGACCATCCCCTGTATTTCCARCTAAGATTCTGGACCCTCTCTCATGAGGAGATAAGAGACCATATTTARATTATGTTCCCAGTARCAAAGSGATCAATGYCATCATCCACCATTAGGTAGCTGAACCAATCTCCTGAGAAGAGTAACTCAGGRATRTATATCACACTCAAGGAATCTGATCCATATTTATTAAGAACATCAGATAGAGAAGCCTTCAGAAAACCATTCCGAGGAATGTGCTGTGTGGAGTTGAGCTGAATGTGGCAGAGAAGCACTCTTGGATTAGTGAACATTGTGCCCAAACTAAAGCAGGAAAACACTGAAAGCTGCGCAGACACCTCTGGACTCTTAACAAGAAGATAAATTGTCTGGACAAACAAGACTATTTCATGGAAAATCAAATATGATGCCTCCCAGGAAAACAGATTGATAACCCTGCAGAGGAAACCTCACTTGGTGAGTACAGAGATTATGTTCTTATTTGTACTACTTKGTGCAGATTTAGGTAAATTCAAAAGTAGTCCTTGAAGGTAGTGGATATTGCCTTCAGATCCCATGGATATTAGCACAGCAGATTGTGGACAAGGCTGCTTTGTCATGGTACAGCCAAAATTGTAACTGGACTAGAATTACTAATTGATGACCAACTTGTTCTTATCTATTGTATTAAACACAAGCAGATGTCAAAGGCACTATGTAGTCCTAATCCTGATATTCTAAATTGTCCTGCTTTTCAATTGCCTTTGCCTCACATTGGTCCATTCATGCCAGTTTATGAAGTTAACAACCATGTGGATTAGTTGATACATGCACTACTTCAGGCAGTCTTAAYTTTTGTGAAGTGAAAACAAAGAAAAAACTTGAGACTAAAGCTAGTTAATGCCTTGAGGTTTTTTATTTCACATTTATAAAAATGTTATCATTTAAATACACTTGCTAGTTTCTGTTTAGGAGCTTTTCCCAAGTGTATAAAAGTTTGTAATTGCAGAAGCTGTAAAAGGTTTCTAACTTTCTCCTTTGCTTTTTTGCTTYACTGTACACTTCTTTGTTAAACAAAAAATGCATTATGCCTGCAAAATTATGTTCATTTTGAAAATGGTTTATCATTATCAGCTGGTGTTCATATGTAATATATATGKTAGTCATACAGTTCCCTAAACATCTGTGTATGTAGTATTGCCTTTCCAGAAGCAGCTCAGATGTTACTGGATGAGCATATAGCACTGTCCATACCTTTTCCAGTTATCTTTTTTGCCTTTCTTTACTAATACTTCCCTGCTTTTTAAAAACATAATTGTGGAAGTATTAATCTAGCTGAATTTTAAAAGTGGCCTTTTCTGTAGAAAAACGTGTGGTTACCTGTGGGTTTGTTAAAAAGGACTGCTACAATATGGGACAGCAGCTCAATTGGAATGAAAAAAACCCTGACATTTGAGCTTATCTTTGTCTGGGAGGAGAATACAGGATTGCAATTTRAGAGTTGAACAATGGGATGGAAAATATGAGGAACTAGAGCTTTAATAACACTTACTAGATTAATAATTTTTCCTTTGATTTCTCTGTTCTCCTAGCATCTTGCATGGCACAGCTCACAGAGGAAGGGATGTTACTAACCGTTTCATGAACCTGAGGAAAGAGAAGGCAAACATCCTTCATCTCTAGCCTTGTGAAGGGATCCCAGCTGCAGGCAAAGTGCCCAGAAGAAGGAAGTTTGTGTTGCAAGACAAGCTCGAGAGCAAAGGCGTGTGTGACATGCTCAGAACATTGTCAAGGGATCAAATGGAAAAGTTTGAAAGAGAAAGGGACRTAAAGGAAAAGACCATTGGACGTGAAGGAAAAGCTGCAAAACATGCTGGAGAACTGTTTCACTTTGCTYATGTGGAACATCCTAAAGCAATCCAGGCCTGTAGCCTTTCATTCTTCAGCTGTGTAGAGCTGAGCTGAATGTGGCAGAGAAGCACTSTWGGATTAGTGAACATTGWGCCCAAACTAAAGCAGGARCACACTGAAAGCTGAGCAGGCTGTGAACCACAGGCAGTCTCACCATGTTTTCCACCCCAAGATGAGGGAACGCATATGGTCCCATTTCACATTTCTGAACCCCTTAKGAAAATTTCTCCGGCCGTCACATTAGGTTTTGTGTCCCATTTTAGTTCTTTCTAATTGCACTATCTTGTTGTGCCAAAACAGCCATTTTAGTTACAATCTGGAGTTCACTGGAAGGAAAAGAAGTGGAGGTCTCCCTGCAAAGAGCCATTTGTAATAAAATTGAAGTAAGCAAACGGTATATCAGACATTGTATTTGTTTCATTCATTGCACTGTCATGAAGTTTCTATTCTATCTTGGCTCGTAAAATGTGAGCACAGAATTTCCCTCARTCTCAGATACATGAAAAACAGAGAAATTAGCAAGTTGGCAACAGCTTGGCTCTTTKGAAAACAACATTTCCCAATATGCTTCATCTTTCTAAGTTGGAGGAAGAAARGGGGAATGTCTGGTGCATGGTTCTTGAAAGCTTGCCAGTCCTTGCCTTTGAGCAGGCTCCAGCTTGTGATTAAACACCTCTGCTCTCCTTTCTGTCTTCCAAATGTTCACTGATCATTCTTCTTCAGCSGAAAATGCCTCAATGTCTAGAAAAGCTTCTGAAAAGCCAAGGAAGCAAAGATCAAGTCTTACAATATTACATTTTGTACTACATTGCCATTTAGATCCTGTGGTGTTTAGGTGAGCAAAAGCTTTGTGTTTTAATTCATAAAACAGTGAGCTTTTCCCCTAAAAGTTCTGGCACCAGGCCTTTTCCAGGTTTCTCCATGTAAATGTTCCCAAAGTTCCTACTATATGCAATTTGMTATGCATTCTTGATGAGTAGAAAAGGTCTGATACGAGAATCTTTAGGAAAAGTCTTTTAGTCCATATACAACAGGTGTGGGAAACCTCTTGCTCTCCAGAACTTTATTTGCAAAAACATGCTAGTGAGCTGGACCTGGTTTGGAGGACTGACAGCAGCAGTGTGGTTCTTTAGCTAGCCCCTGGTGCATGAAGCCATCAGGAATTTTAGGCTCATCAGCTTTGATCTGGGCCCAAAGGCCGGTATGGATAAGTGCATGCTATTGTGATCATCCTGGTAGTTGTTTTTTGCCTACAAGCCAACATGGATGAAAGCAAATTATAACAGTATAAAAAGCTGCACTAATTTGTGTGAGGTAACGACTGTTACAGATCTGTCGCATGATACTTCYAAACTACTTCAAAGGGTGCTGCAATAATGATTTTTAGCTTGTAGTTGCAAACTGGTACTGCTGTSCTTTTTTACCAAATTGGCCTTTGATTTGGGATTATTGAGTATTTTCCAAACTGCAGATGTGGGGAGAGAAAAAAAATATTATGTTTTCTCAATATCTATGGAGTACCACAGTAATTAAATCAGAACCTGTTTGRCCTCCACAATTTCAGGTTTATCTGCTTGCTAGTATAGCTGAAATACCATTGTATTCTAGATCCTTTGCAGTCTTTAGAAACTGCTTGAAAATTGAAGTGCTCTGTGTTCTTCATTAACAGCAGTAACAAAAACCAAATCCACATTGGTGTTAACACTCTGTAAGCAAAAAAAAATATCAAAAAAGGCCTTTATATGCGTTTTAGCTTGCAGTAGGTTTGGTTTGGATATGAGTGTGCAGCCTACAAGGTAAATAAAGTGTGCAACACTGAGCTCAGTGGTTAAACTGAGATGAACTTGTTCAGGCTGTGAGGGGGAGAAAGAAAATCTCAGTCCAGGAGAGATGCTGTCATTTTAAAAAAGAACTGGTGCACACCTTATAATTGAAGCTAGGTGAATGTGAATTTTCAGTTCAAGCATTTGATCAACTACAGCACAATAAATATAGAGGCAACAAAAACTTGAAGCCCAAATGCACCTATTTTAAGAAAAATTCAAAGAAAAATCTTTCCTGAGTAGACCAGCTCTTAAATGCTTATGAAACATCATATTGGTGAGTAAAGGACATTAAGGAAAATCTGTATTAAAATTATTGGTAAAGTGARCTAACTTATATCATTGCAAGTTCTAAAATCCAGTAGATATACTGTATATGATTTTATGAAATTGTTTATATATAACGTAATTTCTCAGTTACCTTACTTTTTCTTGTGGACTCAGTTTTGTGAAATAATGTATCTGTGGGCACATTGGCACTTGCTGTGCTTGGTAAAGGATATAAAAATTTTACATTGTAAATTCRGTTATTCTTGTCTCCTGATAAAACATCTTTCTGTTTTGCCTGATAAAATGGGTGGGAACAACACGCTAATCCCAAACATATGCTCCAAGGTAGAAGTATGTTTAYCAGGAAAGGTTTTAACATACTAGACTGAGATTTGACAGCTATCAGCTTGTTGCCTCAGAAGCTGAGAATMATTTTTTAAAAGAATGCCCACATCCAGGAGCCTGGGGGAAAATTATTAATTTGTTTCCTTATAGGTCTCCTTTAGAGAGGTGGCTGTAAAGTGTTCACAAAAGGCCACAGGAATAACAGAAGCTCAGATCCTGTTATTCAAACTGCATGTACCTTGCAACATGCAACAGCCTCAGCCTGTTGGTTTTGGGGGGTTTATTTCATCTAGGTTTTTGGAGGGGGTTGAGAAGCGTAGAAGTGTTTTGAACAGAGAAGTTTTTTGTTTGGGCTTTTTGTGTGGTTTTCTGTTTGGTTGGGGGGCTTTTTGTTTTTTGGTTTCATTTGTTTTTTTGGTTTTTTTTTGTTTTGCTTTTGGTTTTTGTTTGGTTTTTTTGTTTGTTTGGGGTTTTTAGTTGGTTTTTCGTTGGTTTTTTTTTGAGTGTGTTTTGTCAGCACTGTGTTTCTGTAGCCTACAGATCTAGTTCTGGAACTGGCCTGGAGTAGACAGTGTCACCTTTTTCCAAATTATGGTATCTGGCCCTTTTAACTCCAGTGTCACTTCTACTCTTCTCAAGTAATTACCRTTTAAGAATACTGTAAGAATGACCTTTTAGTAGCTCAGAGGATCATTCTTTGTGGTGACCTCTTTTCAAGAGATCAAACTCTTGGTGCAGATCAAGATTCAGCTTTTGCCACAATGGGCAGAAGCTGGTGGTAATATCTTTTGAGCTTGAGATCTCAGTAASCTATTTTAGCTAGCAAATCCCTTTTCTTTTTTACTTCACTATTTAACTTTTTCAAGCAAAATTTCCATTTAGCAGAAATAACCTACTTTTTTCRAAGTGTCTCAAGGACACCCATGAATGAAATCATGGTGGAGCACATGGCTAAACTGCTTATGAAGTCCCCATCTCTGGATTCTTTGTTGTCAAAAGCCCAGAGATCCTCCAAATAATCGCTTAGCGACTGGGGGGGGAAAAAAGAAAGAAAAGAAAAAGGTCTTTATCTGCCTGTAATTATTTTCTAAAGATCAGGACTTCCCSTGTAAGAATTTAATGAATATAAAACTATTCAAATTGTTTTCAAACATGGTATGACAGAGTATGCAATCTGTGTTAGCAATGGGATGGACATGATGACCTGTGACCAGAAATATAGAAGTGGCAGATGACCATTTATGACTCAAGGGAGGATGTAATTGAAACAATATTGCCTCAATCTGCTTTTCTCCCCCTTGGCTGACTCATGATCACAGAAAATCTGATTGCTTCTGTTTTTGTCATGTGGCAGAGCTCAGATGGTGTGTCACAGTCACTCCTGGTGCAATGTTCTGGTGGATGTTGTTACGTATTTCCCTTCATTTCCTTATTACCTGAGAAGTCTCAGGAAGTTTAAGCAGGAATTAGCTATCCCAGCAATGGCAGTACTGGCCTGGCTGAGGCAATTCTTAGAATTCTGATGCTTTTTTTGTGCAGCGTTTGACAGGCTTGCCTTAACATGAAAATAGAGTGCCTTTAAATGTCAGTCAAGTCGTGCACTTGGATCTGTGCAGTGTCCCATCTCCTCATGTGTGTTCTAGTTGCATGAATTGCTTACAAAAACATTCAGAAGTTGCAAACCTCCTCATCTACAACAGAACATATTTTACCTGAAAGCACTTGGGTGGCAGTGAATGAAAACTTCAGCTTATGTGTGTGCACAACARCAGCATTTTAAAAAATGGTCCTGAAATTATGAATAACTTGTGAAAAGCTGGGCTGTTCAAGGCCCTTTCTCCGAATTTGACTGTTGCTAGTTTCAGTTCATTGCTTCCCAGTGTCTTCCCTGTATTTATATTCTGTCATGTGACAGTAGGTAACTGCTTTTTTTTCACAGTTAAGCAGGATTAAACACCTGCCTCTTCTCTCCTGCCCCACTTCCCAAACATATTCAAGCATTTCATTGAAAGACTTACTAGAATGTTACATGAATTAATTCGCAAGCACTTTGTTTGGCCATTTTCAATTGTTGGCCAGGAAGGAGAAGATGACAGGTACTTAGGATCCAGATAGCACTAAGTTCTGGGATCAGTGCCAAACTGTATCAAYTTTTCAATGAAAGTTGAGATAGTAGGCTATAAAGCAGATCTGTTTCTGAAAAAATGCCAAGATATCCTGATGAAAATGTTCGTTTCCCCAAAGACCTTTGGAGAGTCCAAGGGGCTTTTGCTTACAGTAGGTGGCATCAGGACCTTCTACTGACTGCTCCATGCTGCTGTCTGTTTTATTTCTGATACTTCTCCCYGTGGGCATTGCCTTTGTGGGCATGATAATTAATCCATGAATCATTGAATGGCTGGAGGACTGCACTCCTGTTTTAGGACTTACAAGAAGAAACCAACTCTTAAAGACCTTGTTGTCAGATACCATGTATATTTTAACAAAGTTTTCTTTGACAAAGTTGGCAAATATTTTCATTAGCCTTTTGCCTTTGATCCATTAGATTGAATCATTAACAGTGACTGACCTTGACTAGAGTAACAGATAATTGCCAGCTTATTGCACTTTAACAAAATTAATGCATAAACAAAGAAGTGACTTTCTGCCTTTTTACAAACAAAAACCCCAAGCGTTTGGATGTTTTGTCTTTTGAATATTCAGTTCATTATACCATAAATTAAAGACTTCATCTACATTTATGACTAGCAGCATTTGCATTTCTTCAGGAAGCTTGTCTGTGTAGTCTGAACACTTACCCTTTCAGTGAAACCTATTGCGTTGTAGCCCTGTAAATAGCATTTGACATGTTGTGCTATTCAAAGTTATTTCTGAAAGGTTGAGGTTAAAAGGTGGTATGTTTATTTTTAGTAYCAATAATACATTGGCCATGTTATTTTTAGGATCAGTAATACATTATTACTAATCAATGAAGTTGAATGACTAGATGTAATTTTCACTCTTTCTTCACTGAACATCCATACATTYTGTTTTATAGCATTTCTGATTGTAGCATTAAATTGTTAAGCATTTTTAGTTCTYAATTGGTTACCATTGGAATGAGTGTATTGCATTGACTCAGAGGTGAGGAAACTGCAGACTCTCTGTCTGCAGTGCATGTTGGACAACATGAATTTTTCAGATCAGTGTTTATTATTATTAGTTTGGTATGGTAGAGTTTTCTTTGTTTTAACTTAGAACACTTCACAGCCACGTAATTAGGAAGTGTATGCAACAGAGAGTTGTTGCAATTGATCATAGGGGAGTAGAGACCGTTCATTATAAATTGTTTTTATTCAGAGCTTTAGATCAGTTTTCTTATGTATGTATTATTATAGTTGAAAAGGACTTACCACACCCACTATGCAGTGTTTGAAGCCATTTGTAGACCTAAATCCTCTTTTTCCTTGACTTTGTTTCTCAGACCAYCAATTCTCCCTAGTCCTTCTCCTTCAAAATCCATTCCAATCCCACAGCCCCTCCGACCAGCAGATGAAGATCATCGGAATCAATTTGGGCAACGCGACCGATCCTCTTCAGCTCCCAACGTCCACATCAATACAATCGAGCCAGTCAATATTGATGTAAGTATTACTGACAGATCAGGAGTAGTASATTTATGTGTTCCTTATGAAAATCAGTGTGTTAAATTCCTTGTGTACACACAAGTGCTGTTTCTAAGCTAATCCTCAGTGGTCTGTCAGAATCTTCAAAGATCGTTCATTTTTCTTTTTTTTAATAGATTCTTTTCTGCTCTTAAGAGCTGTAAGAATACAAATAATCCAGTCCCCAAAAGCAGAACTGCCTTTTGACAGTCCTTTTTCATTTTCAAAGAAACAGTCTGCCCTAAACAGCTGCTTTTTTTTTCCCTGTCATTAGTCCCAAGGCTCACGCTGTTAGCTGTAGGCAGTAACCACTCTTGCAAACCATTCTATGTGTTAAACACATTTTTATGCTAGATAAAGATTTTTAGTATTTATAGTCCAAGTAATATTTCTGCCRTTAAAGAAAACTGAATTAAATGAAGCTGAGTTCAGATATACTCATAGTTCTTTAAGAGTTTAAGAACCCARTATATGTTGTTCTGAACATTCCTTTGGAGTGTTCAGAAACTGCTGCACTTCAGTTTTATTCCATAAGTTTGAAATCTCTAGGTGGTGAAATATAACTAATAGTAATGGTTAGTATTACCATAAGGACATTTAGGACCTTTCAAGACATTGCTTTTTTTCTAATTTTGCTGACATAAACAGTTTGTATTTTAAGTTCTGTTCTCTAGAAATTAGTCATTTATTAGATGAGCAGTCTTGAAATCTGCTTTTTGTGCCTGGACACTGAGGCAAAAAACCTGTTTTGCATGTGATCTGAGGGAAAGGTGARGTGTTGATTTTAAGAATGTCGCTGTGTAGACATTTGCATGTGGTGTATGGCAGTGATGCAGCTGAGGCATAGCCAGGGCTTTTGGCAAAGCATAGGTGTGTAAGGGAACAAATAAAACTGTGTAACCCAAAAACAACAACAAAAAAGCTTTATTATGAAAATGGACGTACCAAAGGAAACTGATAGACTATTCTACTTCTGTTTAGAAATTCCTTAAAGTAGTTTGCTTTTAGTCTGGAYATGTTGCAAAAGATACTCTCAGTTCACAGGAGATTGCAAGTGAAGGACCTTTTGCAGTTAGTMATTTCTGAGAAGAACTGTGTGCTTGGCTATGCAAATCAGGTGTGTTGTTACCAAAAACATGAAGCAGGATTCATTTGACTGATGTACCTCAGTACAGGAAATTGGTGTCCCACGTTCAGATATGACAATTCAAATAATTTATGCCTCTGTAATAGGAACATTTGAGTCAATATTTCTTCCTACGTTTTGGCCAGTTGGTTTTTAAATCAGTATTTTCTTGTCAGTATCTCTTTTTGGGTGGTGTTCACTTCACTTTCCTACTGAGAGATGCTGTTTTAAAGCAACTTAATTTTGAGAAGTTTTGTAGTTCTTTGGAATCATTGCTACTAGTAAGTCAGGATAGGAAACCACTTTYATTTCATGGGCAACATATGGCATTATGGATTCTCAAATTGATTGGTCTCAATTGATTCCAGAAWGTAAATGTTAATACCTAAATTAAACACAGCTTTTTTAATTTTTTATAGGACTTGATTAGAGACCAGAGTTTACGAGGAGAGGGAGGTAAGTAGTGTTTAAACTAACTRCTGTGCTACATTTAATTACACAACTGCTCTGTCCCTTCCTGTTACCCTATTTCCTTCTACAAAACACAGGCAAAATGCAAAATACAACTAGAACAAAAAGTGAATTTACATTTGCTTGTCCATGAACTTAGTATATGTTTCACGAAGATTTGAGTCATTTGCTGGTCATTCTGGGAGTGGGGGAGACGGAAGGAGAAAACATTTTGAAGCAGTTTCTGTTTTTTGTTAGTTTTTAAATTATTTTGCGCTTTCACTTTTTCACACACACACACGCACACACACACACACACACACACACACACACTCATTCACTCACATGGCTGTACACAGATACACTACAACTTCCCAAAGATTTTTATGCCTGTTGTTGCCTTTTCACCCATGGAAATAACAGGGGTTTTCAGCAAAAACCATTGTGGTAGATGRGCCTTCCATACAAACTGCTGCATCCTAAAGCAGCATGAAATACTCCCGTTCTTCTCCCCCTCTACCCCTGCTGAAGCTGCTGCTTTGCTGTACTGCATGCCTGTGCTACTCTTGGAGCAGATTATTAGGATCTTACACTAAAGCCRGGTCTTTTTACTTTTCTTTCAGTAACTCACAGCTCTAATTCACAGTTGAGTCAGAACTAGTGCCAGCAGGTTTATTTTTCTTCACGTGTTATGCACGGGCCTCTTAAATGACTTCTCCCACTGGTTGTCAAGGTCCTGAAGAGGGCCTCTGTGCTGTATTTATTACTGTGAATATAAGAATCAAACTGAAATATTGAAAATAGAGGAATACTAAGTAGGGCAGGCATATGACAGTTTTTCCAACTYCAAATCAGTAACACAGTTGTYTCCTACTAATTATAACTTGSTTCAGCCATAAGTATGGTCTGAATTACTATAATGCACTCTTTCCTAATCTCAAAGGTTTTGTACTGTGGGCTTTCACTGACTTTGTTTCTACCATGCAAATCTGGTATTTGATAGGATGTGTTGTGTTTGATGGAGCTGTCTTTAATAATGTCAGCAATAGGTGCTTTTTAGAAAGAAAATTTCCTTTAATCCTGCAAGCTACTAATTGAAAGTTGCCAGTTTTAGCTATTTTTGTATGTGTTGATGGGTGTGGCTCTCCACAGTTTTGCCCATTTTGTCCAACATTTAAATGTTGTGCGATCATGTTGGTTTTAACTTTTGATCATAAACTGTCTGCTTGGCATCTGAAAACAATTGGCTATTTCCAGTCCTGAAACGATGTTCTTGGGAATTTACTTTTTTTTTTTTTTCCTTCAAAGTACAAAAGCAATCTATGATTAGGAGTCAAAGCATCCTAGTTATTTCCCATGACTTCTTTCATTTCTTCTATGTGTCTGTCTTTCTGTCTCTGCCTGCCCGTCTCTTTCTCTCTAACAGCCCCTTTGAACCAGCTGATGCGCTGTCTTCGGAAATACCAATCCCGGACTCCCAGTCCCCTCCTTCATTCTGTCCCCAGTGAAATAGTGTTTGATTTTGAGCCTGGCCCAGTGTTCAGAGGTAGTTGGGCTCTTCTTTCTTGTTTTCACCCAAACAAAATAAGTAAAACCACAGATGCTGTTTGTGCCTCACCCTCACACCGTGTGTATGTAAGTGTGTGAGTTTATCAAAACACCTCTGGTTTTTGCTTGGCCTGGCTGGAATGCTTTGAATGTGCTTTTCACACATACTCACTTTCACCTTTACACGCTTGGAAATGATTATAAATWAAGCCTGACTTAAATCTTCAAAAGCAAGGAATTTCATAGTTGAGGTTTTTCTGTGGACCTTAACATAATTTTTCTAAACAAAGGTCATTGGACTGCATTGCAGTGATTTTAAAGATAAAATTATGTCCTTAACTTAGAATTTCCTTGACTGTTCAGTTTAAGTCAGTTTGGTGCTATAACAGTCTTCTATATTTAATATTCTTTGTTTTGAAAAGTAATGTAGGAAATCTAATGTGAATTACAAACATTTCCATTGATATCTTGTTAGGTCTCAAGCTTTTCAAGTAACGTGTCATTTCAGCTTTCWACAAATACTTCATTTTGACAGTGTGCTGGTGACACCACATCAGGGCTCTAGATGGAATTCAGTAGTTTTTATTTAGTTAGTAAATTTAACTGAAACAGTATTTCTGTCCTGTACTATGTAAAATAAGAACACTTAGATTTTCATGTAGTTGACCCTGGGGGTAATTCAGGCCTTAAGCTGTCAATGGATCTGTTGTATTGCACAAAATCCCAAAAAAAACTCAGTGGGATTTTCGTATGCTGGAGAAACCAACTCTTGAGTAATAGCATGAAATGTTAATACTTGTGTTTATACATATATGTGTAGAAATGGTCAGCTGAGTGCATGTAGTGTGGTTTTCAAATGCTACCATCTTGGCTGTTTCAAAGACTTTTGTTTCAGAACATATCAAGAACAGTTCACCTTTTGAACTTGTAAAGATCTTCCAGAAGTCTTTGTAAGAAGATAGGTGTTCCCAGCAAACAAACTGGCTACAGAATGAAATATGTTACATACAGCTTCAGAGTCCAAGCTATTAAGTCCAACATTATCTGAAGTATTCTACTCTAATAACTTGGAAAACAGGCCATCTGGTTTTATTATTACGAACAGATTAACTGCAGTGTTCAGCCATGTGCTGTAAGCAGTTTTAGTGAAGGGTGAATATTGTGCTAGTGGTCCTATATTGCAGTCTTAAATTTAAGTAGGAGCTTTTAGTTACCTCAAGGAAAATGCATCCCAGATCTTTGCTGTTGCAGAGAAAAACTGTAGCCCAGTAAACTTTTGGAAAATTGCTCATGTTCTGAGAATGTCATACCTTTAATTCCACAAATGTTTGGTTTCAGATGAATCATATAACAAATAAATGGCAGTATAGTGACTGTAGCAKGAACACAAGTCCATCCTTAAGGTCACTGGCTTCCAGCTGCTTAGAAATGTAGTTAGGATGCCCAGTATACATCATTCTTGTTGCTTTAGTATGTGGGACTAAAGACTTTACAGATGCTCTGTCCTGTTTTGGATACATAGGTAGTTATTTTGTGTATCCACTCCTAAATGTATAGATTTTAGCTTAGTGAGTCCAGTGATGGATATGTATAGTCTGATAAATTATCATGCACTGATCATGCACTGAGTGACTGAACTTGAGCAACAGTTTTAGAAGTCACAAAGTCARTTTTTGTACTCTGCTTGGCATTAGGACAGAGTTTGTGCTTAAGAAGGGAGCTTCTAAAAGAGGAGTAATATTGTCTTCCCAAAGCCCTGATGTGAGAGAAAGCGAAGGAATGTTAGAGGTCTTGTTCAATGACATACATTGTTTAGCAAAGCAGCATGAATTTAATTAACAGTTGACCCTATTTTATGTCCTTTGCATTGGAAGGGTCAGCATAACCTTGTTACAAATAATTGTGATGTATTTTAAAAAGCAGAGTCTAGGTGAATTGCTCTATTTGCAAAGGGCCACTGGGGCTCTGAAACAGCTCTCTTAATAACATTTTCCTGCATAGGTTTGTTTAGATAACCTACAGGCTATAGACATACTGTTCCTTTTTGTGTTTCCTAGAATATGCCTCAAATAGCTTAACTAGAGTACTTGTTCTTTTTTAATCCTTTCTAAAGTCTAATATTTATTTTTAAATAATAGTTCTCTGCTAACAGATAGCTTTAAAACAGCCAAATGATTTTCAGGTGGCACTTGGAGACTCAGCCAGAAAACATTTCAGTTATTTGCATTTAGACTATTTTGATTCTAAAGTACAGTATTTCAGCTATTTGTTGAGTTCCTAAAAGCTTAGCTACAAGAAATGTCAGAGGTAGATGCTGCTAACTAAAATGCTTCTGTTCTTCTCAAAGGAAYTGATGGAATTAAAAAATACATTTTAAAGTATTTTTTTCCTACTTAAAAAGATATTGTCCTTTTGTTAATTCATGAAGAAGGGACTGGRAACTATCTATACAGGGATGTTTGCTATAGACTTGTCTCTTCCTGAAATCTGAGACTTGAGCACTAATCTAATATTAGGACAATATTCCTGTATATGTTTGTTCTCCCTTGACATTTACATTGATGTTTAGGGRTACTGCATCTTAAACTCAATTCTTGCACCTGCTGTCAATGCATTCTTGTAGACTGGATTCTTACAGATAAAATTATCCTATTTCTGAAACTTAGGCTCAGCTGCAGGTTTGTCTGCAACACCTCCTGCTTCTTTGCCCGGGTCACTAACCAATGTGAAAGCGTTACAGAAATCACCAGGACCCCAACGGGAAAGGAAATCATCCTCATCCTCAGAAGACAGAAACAGAATGGTAAGGGAAAGATCAGATCTTTTCTTTTGTAGAAATATTACACAACATTCCTCTCACTTTTCTTTCATCAAAATGTCCTAAATTATTTTGAAGATGAATAYGGCAATGGTCGAGGACTTTAAACGGATAAATAATAGAGTGGGATAACCACTTTAAAACCAAAATTTTTTGTGGGACTGATACATAAATCATTTAAATAATTGGCTAAACTCACTTTTACAGGTGTTCTTCATATTGTAATGCCAGTTTCCCTTCATGTAACAGCTAACTTCTCCCACTGTGATTCATAAACTTTCTAAGTAATGAATCTATGTAACAATTTTTTATACAATGATACATAAAAACATCCACTTTGGTTTTTAATTCGCAATTCAGTATTATAATTAATAATTTAAAATCAAATATTACTTTCTTTTTAGTAAGCATTTCTTAATGTTTTCTAGTTTTAACACTGCCAGAAAGCTGTTGCAAATATTTAATGCCAGGTAATAATTTGATATACCTGTGTCCTGAGGTTTTGGCTGACATTAAAAGTCAAAAGCCAACGTCTGAAAAATAAAATCATTTTAGGACATTAATGATGGGAGACACTGATGAGAAATTTTTAACAAAGGAGCTGTTTTCAGCAACATTAATGCACCTGTTTTCTTCCTTTTTATTGTTTTGCACATATATAAAGAAAACTCTTGGTCGACGGGATTCAAGTGATGATTGGGAGATACCAGATGGACAGATCACAGTTGGACAAAGAATAGGATCAGGATCATTTGGAACAGTCTACAAAGGAAAGTGGCATGGTATGTGGCCATCATGGCAAACAGCTGTTCTTGAGGAGGTCCCAGTGCCTGTCAGGGCACACCCACTGGACAGTGGCTTCCCAGAAACACTGGGATTCTGGTGGGCACCAGGCTGACTGAGAGCCAGCAGTGTGCCCATGCCACAAAGAGGGAAGATGGTATCCTGGGCTGCAGTAGGCAAAGCATTGCCAGCAGTTTAAGGGAAGCAATCCTTCTCCTTCAGCRCTGGTGAGGCCASACCTGGAATGCTGGGTCCTGTTCTGGGCTCCTCAGAACAAGAGAGACATGGACATAATGGGGAGAGTGCAGTGAAGGGCTGTAAATATGGTTTCTAAATTAATAGTGTACTGATTAACCAGTGTGAGAACTTCATATTGCTTAGAAACTCAACTCCTGCATGTTCTTCTGAATTAGAAGTTACTAGGGTAAGGATGAAGCATAACTAATTGAAAGGCAGAAGTATCCATCTTGATGAATAAGGATTTAAAATGTGTGTTTTAATAGAATTGGCTTCACTGTGATTTCTCAGATTAAAGTAAGARTAGTATTTTTTATATTTTACTGAATTTTGACTTACTTTAAAAGTATAGTGATTTATTTCATTGTAAGCAAAAAGCAGAGTATCCTAAAATTTCTGATGCTCTGTATAGCATTTTCTCAAGAGAGGAATATGTATCAATGGCACTTACTAAAAATTGCTGTTTTAAAGGTGATGTGGCAGTGAAAATGTTGAATGTTACGGCACCCACACCTCAACAGTTACAGGCTTTCAAAAATGAAGTAGGAGTGCTCAGGTAAGAATATTTTTAATGGCATGAAATAATRTGTGTAGATTTGTGCTTCGCTAATGACTGAATTTTAGATTTCCATTAGAACACATTGGTCTCACTCCTACGTGGTGATACTTCAGGCAGAAAAAAATAACTTGCCATTTAAAAATATTTCTTTGTATCCACTGCTAGTCCTTGCCTGTATGTGTTTGTCTGCACACCTGTGTTGKCAATGCATACATATCCAAACACTCAGGACTGATTATTTCTTATAAAGTCACTCCTTGATTTCCTTTTTTCATGTCTCTTGCTTCTGCTGTCTCAGAGGAGGTATTTGGTTTGGATTCAGCTCTTAAAAGAAGTTCCATCAGCATRATATGATAGAATATTTATTAGGAAGGAGCATTACATCCAAGTACAATCTYGAGCASTGTCGATCATGATTCTTTTTTAAGGAAAAAACAACAAAAAGGTTTTTGCCYYTGGAAGCYTGATGTATTGAGCTGGGCATCTGTGCTGCAGAAACATCCCAGATAAGCTACTTGGTGAAAGAGGATGGTCAGCCTGTTTCCCCAGGAAAATGTTAGTTCTGAAAGCTCATAGTTGTGGAAGCAGAGACTTTCTGGGGTGTGCAGCTTTGGGTATCTCTTCATCTTTTTGACGTTAATGAAATCAAAAATCCTCCTCCAGCTTTCTGTTGATAGTCCCATAGATGGAATCCTGCCTTTTTGYTTGCTGATTCCTTCAGCACTTACGTGGTCAGTTTTCTATCCTTTGACCCAGACAAGGCAGATTTACCTGTAATTGTGCCTTCTCCACTGTGATTCATCATTACTTAGCTTTGTGGTAGGATTTGCAAGAAACTGGTTTCTTTCCTCAGCAGTTACTCTAGGCATCACTTGACAAATCCTTGAACCTGGAAAAGGCACAGTCACATAGCACAGAACTGTCCTAGTCCCCATTGCTGCAAGGACAAAGGTACACACTCAGGGATCCCATGGTAATTTTGTAATATAAGAAAACATAAAAGAGCTGTGACATTTTTCTTTTACCCCAGAGCAGTTATTCCATGTTARTGTGATAAGAAAGGCTAGCTTCAGGAATAATTCATTAAATTAATCTAGCAAGAGGTTATCATGTTATCTTAGTAAAAGTTGAGATTGACCCAGCAACTTCTGCAAAAATACWTAATTGTAGACTGTGATAGATCTGCCTGGGTTTTCCTAATTTCTTGATGTACCTGATTTCCTCCTGATTCTTATTTTTTTGTAAACAGGAAAACACGACATGTGAATATCCTGCTTTTCATGGGTTATTCAACAAAACCCCAGTTGGCTATTGTTACACAATGGTGTGAAGGGTCCAGCTTGTATCACCATCTACACATCATTGAGACCAAATTTGAAATGATCAAGCTAATTGATATTGCACGACAGACTGCACAAGGCATGGAGTAAGTATTGAATTACTCATCTGCAAATGAGCACTGGGGCAATGTTTACTTGTCCTCCTCACACTCTGGCTGACATTGGCAAATAAGGGCAGCTCTGCTCACTTTGCTGAGCCCAGGGTCCTGTCTCAATCATCAAAGCATTTGGTGCAAGTATGATCAGAGCTCTCTAAATAATGGATTTCAGCATCCAAAGAGAACATATCTATTTTGTTCTAAGGATTGTAAATAATCCTTACTCCCACAGAGGGCCATAGAGTTAGAATCTACAAAACCAGCCAAATATTGTGTGTCAAAATCAGAACACTGCTGTAAGACCAGAGAAATCTCACTCCAGCTGAAAACCCCTATGATGATTGTAGCTCATTGTGCCATTTTTCTGCTAAGTATTCCATTACATTTTCAGTCAAGAGGTGTGGAGGTGTTTGCAGAACCAGCYTTAGCCTTCTGTTAGCCTGTGCCTCTCCCATGCCCATGTGTATGTAGGGAAAATGCAGAAACTGTTTTATGAACATGATGCAAAGCAGGGACACAAGYTGGGGCTTTTCCAGCAGTTTTGTGCCAATCTCATTGAGTGAACAAAGCCATGAGAGACAAGTTGCCTAATTCAGCCTGTGTCTRTGCTGTGGGGCAAGTTCTCTCCCCTGTATTTCCTACCTTCTGTTTATCCAGGCTGCAATCAGGGGATCTTTTTTCCACCCCTCTACCAAAAAGCAGTCAGTGTACCTGAGTACACACTGAGACTGGAAAGCACTGTTAGCTCCTGCAGTTTAGAAACACCTAAAGCTCTGACCAGCTCCCAAAGTGAGCTTGACAGTCACCATTAAGGCTGGGAGGCAGAACTTTCAGCATGGAATTGGATGTAAAAACTACTGAAGTTCTTTTTATTGTGAATATTCTGTTAGAATTGAAAAGCAGAAGTTGGAGCATAGTTGTAATTCATCAGTAGCATCAGATTTGAGCTGGAAATCTAAGTTGTTTTTTTTTTTTCCCTGTCAATGTTGCAAAAACTGTCATGGGTTACTGAAGTTTTACTGCCTTCATAAATACATGCAGTTTGAATGTCTACAGAATTTATGTTTCAGTAGTACAGTGGATTTTAAGTTGCTGATTAGTGAAATAGTATTTAACCCACCTAATCTATGATTTTCCTTTTCAGTTATTTGCATGCCAAGTCAATCATCCACAGAGACCTCAAGAGTAATAGTATCCTTTCCCAGAGATGTAATTCTGGAAAGTGAAAGCTTTTCTGGTTTCTTTTCTTTTTTTTCTGCCAGAAATTAACTTACTGATGTGAAAGGCTGTTCATGTGTGAATATTTGCCAAATAGAAATTTCATTGAGAAGGGGTAATATCACAAGTGGGAAAATAAGAGGTGCTTACTGTGTCTTTTGTTTTGATTACAGTAACAAGGGAGTTTTAGTGTGGTATCACAAAGATTATTTTGCATACTTTGGGTTCTTCATGTAATGAAAGATTACATGAGTTGGCTCATGGAATATTTTCAGCTTTTCTCACACTTGGCACTTCAAGAAAGCCACCTGGTCTGTTAAGCACTGGCCCAGTCATTACTTATATAACCTTTCCATACCATAATTCACTGTGCTGGCTGCTTAAAACCTGTGTGATATGAAAACCTTCTTCAGTGATGGTGAATGSTTCAAACTGTCATGTTCATGATGCAAATTTGTCGCTGTTTATTATTCTTTTAGGACAGGGCCAGCACTGCTTGTCTCTTTTCCCTTAACATTCCCCCCTTAGATATTTTTCTTCATGAAGACCTCACAGTAAAAATAGGTGATTTTGGTCTAGCTACAGTGAAATCACGATGGAGTGGATCCCAACAGTTTGAACAGTTGTCTGGCTCCATTCTATGGATGGTAAGCAAGGGGGAAATGGTGAGCTTGTTTCAAGAAATTTATTTACTTTTGGCCAAARTTTCTGCCCCTGTCCCTCTGGCACACTGACATATTCAAGCTGGCTTAAGCTGGAAAAGACAAGCAGTAATATGAAGTAGTAAATGAATGTTTTTCAGTTCTTCTTTAAGCATGTGTTTTCCAGCAGTCAGCAGAAAAAAAAAAAACTTTAGTGTCTCCATCTTTTATTTTGAGGTTTAAATTGAAATGAAAATGGTGKCTAAGGAAAATKAGTATYATTAATCCAGGGTTGAGAAGGTGARGAAACCTTTGCAAAACATCTTGCAAAAGAGTGGAGGAGCTAGCTCAGTGAAAAGTAAGATTCTYCTGAGTTTTAGGATTCAAGAATAATTACTTCATACTATAATCTCCTGTACAGCTCCACTTCCTCCTTTTCTGCCTGGAAAAACTTAAAGCTCTGTCACCTTATTTTCAGTGTCATTAGAATTCTAGTTCTAAATACCTTCTCAGCCTGGACAAGGTCATTTTRTTCTGTCACAGAGGAATAAAAGGGATCAGCAAGCTAAAATGAAACAATGGATTTTGATATTCATGTCAACATCCACTCTATATTAGGAGCCAGTAACATCTGAAGGCAAGAGTGGGCCTTGCACCTGTACCCTTGACAAGTCCACATTTTGTTCCTGGTATGTGAGGTGCAGCACAATGTAGAGAAATAAAAACTAATCCTTGCCTTTTATGATACAGGCGCCAGAAGTTATTAGGATGCAAGATAAAAACCCGTATAGCTTTCAGTCAGATGTGTATGCATTTGGGATTGTTCTCTATGAACTGATGACTGGACAGTTGCCATACTCCAACATCAACAACAGGGACCAGGTAAGGGGAAGCATTGATTCAGTCAAGTGTGGCCTGCAATAGATCAAGTCATCCTTGGGTGGTGAACTTTGTGATGTTCTGTGTATTTGATGTTTCTGATTCTGATGCTGTGAGAGGACATTTCTGCATTTTCTAGATGTGCCTCAGCCACATAGCAACAATTTACTTACTTCTCTTGAGGTATTTTTTGTGTTCTTTTTTATTTTAAGTATAGATTTTCAGCTTCTGTACTGGTTGCCAGGATACTTATTAGGGAGAGAGCAGATTACTTAATAGTGATCTAGTTTAGAATAGTTCTGTGAAGACAAAATGATCCCCCATGTATGTGTTCAGCTATTCCTCTTGTTCCCCCCACCTCTTCACCTGGCAGTGAATAACAGTGCAGCTACAGGATTGAGAAAACAGAACAACAATCATCTCACTGAATGCTACCTTTTYATTTCACCTTTGAGAGAGCATGCACCATCTAACTGAATTGCAGGATACCAGCATTTCTCAAATCCTTCTTGATGGAGTATATGACTTGGCAGGGTGTGGGAATGCTGTAAAAAGATTACTTAATTGTGGACAAATATTCCTTAAGTCTTAATGATCCCATGCACCATAATACATCTCCACAGAGTAGGTGCATTTGGGAAGGCATACCTGATTCTTTATTTCTGTCTAATCTAAAAATAGTATCTATGCATCAAGGTCTTTGGTGCAAACTCTTCTGTGTCTGATCAGTGATGTATTTATGTTGCTTCTGTGTCCTCATCCCTTGTTTTTTCACTGTCAGTACTTGAGAATTGAAACCATAGCAACGTTCATCTGTGAATGCCATTTTATAAGGCTGCTTCCATATCTGCCAGAGCACTTCATCCCAATTCATCAAACTTGGAGTGACTCCTTTTTTTTTTCTGTTCTTTTTTATAATTTTGGTTTTGCCTTTTGAAAGAAGGGAACTGACTGGATTCCTGGCCAGATGGATCCAGCCTTCTAAAAACAGCATTTGGCCTTGTTTAGCTTTTACCTTTTGAGATCTGAAAGATGAACCCGGTGATGTGGGTGCTTACARTGAAGTGCTGAAACCAATTTCAAAATGCAAGTGAAGCCAACATACAAGATGTGATATAATGTCTTGAATTTTGTCACTCCTTGACTATTYTCTGAAAAGTTGTAAATATTCCTCACCCTCTGGTTCATCTACATCAGCTACTGTGACACAACCAAGATTTTTAGTGAGCAAAGTGTCGTTCTTGTTATACCTCAGAGTGTTTCTCTCACTTCAGCAGATTTTTCTGGACTGTTCTTGTAGTGATACACTTTTTTCTAGTTAAAAATAAAAGATTAGCTCCTATATAATTTGTTAGGAAAGTACTTGAAACATAAATAGTAATGAATTTTGAATGATTTCATCATTATTTAGAAAATACTAACTGTTAGATAATGGTGTGATTGCAGCAGAAGTAAGGAATGCAGTACACAAGTCTCTACTACAAAATCCTGCTCTGGCACATGGGGATTTCTAAAGAAACCATATGGGAGTTTTCTGTTCCTCCTTGGTGCCAACACAGATGTGACTGAAGCASAAAGTTATAAAAAGATCAGGATTGTGTTAGTGTAAATAACATGTATAGCATGCTCGAGGTGGAGGATTTTCTGTTGGGTTTTTTCCCCCAGTGTCAAGATAGGAAATAGTTACACTTCATTTGATAGAAGGTATGATATACCTGCAGGGTCTGTCTGAGTACTCAGAAGAGGCAGTGATTACTGCTGTAGCATGAATGGATCTTTGATTAGCTASTTTGGAAGGGTTTTTTAGTGTCTGCAACTGCAGTACTCAAACCACGTTGCAATTGACCTTGGCTTAACATGATGATGTTTGATGGTTTTTTATATATACAAGAGATGATGAACCATATTTGTGTTTGGTTTTCCTGCTTCCTTTCTGTTTACTTTGTTTCATGCTTCAGTTTTATCCTTAGGTGAAATATAAGCCTTCCATGTTCAAAGAATTTCCGTAAAAATACAAAGCCTGTCTGTCTCCTCCTCTACAGAGGGGAGGCAGTTTCTCTTTTTCTTTTATGTGTGTTGGTTTTGGTGAGGTTTTTTTTGTTTGTTTGTTTTGTTTTTTGTTTTGTTTTTTCTTTTTTGTGGGAGTGGGGGAGGTGGTCAGGTGTCAAGAGTAAGCTTTTGTGTTGGAAAAGTATTTGATAGAATTCATTCCCAAAAGGTAATGGGTTTTAGTATCCAAAGTCCATGAGTTTCTTMAAACACCTTTCAGCATGAAGTTGTTGTTGATTTATAATACAAAACTGAATATTTCTTCTTACAGAATGTTTATTTTTAGACATTCTGTTCCTGCCACAGAGTTGCTTATTCTTGTTTTTGTCAGTTTTTGACACTGAAGAACCRTTCCTTAGATGGTTATTGCTATAAATGGTAACCATTTACTAGTGTTCAAGTTTCACAGAAATCTCTCTGAGGAGGAGGAAAGATCTATTTTTTTCTCTGTGCTGAATAGGTTAGCAAACAATACTCTATAAGAAATTTGGCAATTTCAATACCAGAAAATGTTTCCTGGGAGCARAAAGCTTGCTGCTGGAACTCAAATAGTCTAGCAAAATATTCACCTTTTGTTACTGTTTATTTTATCAACTCAGCTTCTTCCTCTTCCATCTTTTTTTCCCTTAAATAAAGATAATTTTTATGGTGGGACGAGGATACCTATCTCCAGACCTCAGCAAAGTACGGAGCAACTGTCCAAAAGCTATGAAAAGACTAATGGCAGAATGCTTAAAAAAGAAAAGAGATGAGAGACCCCTTTTTCCACAGGTGAGAAATGCTCCACTTTAGCTCCCAATAGACTTCATAATTCAAAGCTGTGAATTCATCGGCCAGTCACAAATTTTTTTGATTAGTGTTAATGCAGGATTTCATAAGAGCCTTGGTTCAGTGCTTGGTTAGTTCTGTTTAACCCRTTTTCATTTCAAAACACAGGTATTAAAACAACCTGTTTATTTGGAAAAGCATTTACGTATTGGAGAAAGTTTCAGCTGAGAGATAATGAAAGCAGTAGTCACAGTTAGATACACAAATTAGTACTTGGTGTATGTGCTCAGAAATATTTACACTGCCGTGTAAAATTATTACATTTGCTCTCCCCGAAGCTTCATGAAGGGAAACCAACACTTTTGCCACAAAACTTGGTTTTATTGTGCCTGCTCAGGAAGGTTTGGTTTCAAAAAGCTTGAGGGTGTGGAGGGCAAAAATCTGATTTTTTTCTGTTTTGAATGTAACCAAATTGTTTTCAAAAGGTAAGGAGCTCCCCCTGCTGATTTTTTGGTAAATGTTTTTAAGCAAAATTCTGCCAGAGCTGGGTTTGTTTGCACCGATGGCAGATACAGGTAGTGGTGCATAGACAAAGAACAAATGTTTTCACTGTGCTTACAGAGGGAGTCAGTGTGCTTTTATAAGGGGGGAAATTCCCCAACTCTCCTTTTCAACTTCTTTAGGATATAGACATCAAGAGAGGGATGCAAAAAGCTATGTTTTAAAAATTCTTTTGTTAATTTGTGTTTAAATATTTTTCCGTAGTTAATTGATGTGGTACCTTTGGTTTTAAGAGAGAGTTACAGCTTTGGGACAACAGATTTGATCACTTATTTTCTATTTTTTTAGATTCTTGCCTCCATTGAGCTTCTGGCCCGGTCATTGCCAAAAATTCACCGCAGTGCATCTGAGCCCTCATTGAACCGGGCTGGCTTCCAGACAGAGGATTTTAGTCTRTATGCTTGTGCTTCTCCAAAAACACCCATCCAAGCAGGGGGATACGGTGGGTTTCCAGTGCACTGAAGCAAAATGTGAAAGCATGTGCCTGTGTGTCTGTGTGCTGMTGTGTCCTGTGAGTGCAGGGTGCTTGTTCTCAGTTCCTACCAGCTCCTYCTGTAAGGTTTACTGAGGGAACAAAGACTCACTTCCTAAAGCTGGGCACTGAATGTTCCAAGCACAGAGGCTGTGTTGGTARCGAGTGCCCTGGCAGCAGCTGGCACAAGAAGAACTGTAATGTCCCATAAGAGACATGGGAAAGGTCACTTCAAAACAAGCAAAAATCTTCAGGTCATCAGTGTCATTTTTGCCTAGTTTATTGATTGGAATTAGTTGCTCAGGAGTGTATTTGGTTTTARTCTACTCAAGCAATGGTGGTGTGTTGTTTTGGTGTTGTTTTGATTTTTTTTTTTTTACTTCAGTTGAGGTCATTGTGTTTGAGCAATAAGCTTTAGATTCTTCGTTTAATAATGCTACTCATGTGGGAAACACTTGGAAAAATAAACCAAGCTTCAAGGCTGAACGCAGTCAAAACTTTGTTGTGGTCAGCAGAAGTGAGCAGATACAACACAGAATCCAAAGAAAGTCCTGAATAACATGTGACTCTTGAAAGTTGAAGTTTCAATTAGTGCTGTTTAAGGATCGTCTCTTCCTGTGGGAGAGCAGTGATAAGGGTTGGGGTTTTTTTTTTATGTTATTTTTTTCCCTGAGTATTCTGATCTGCTATAGTTTACACCATCTCCAAATGTTCTGTTACAATGCAACACAGAAGAAATTCTGAATCCGTTTTTGCCAMGCTGCAAGGCTATTACTGCTAATGGTGCCTGTATCCTTCAATTAGCACGGATTTGAAAATTTAAAAAAAAAAACATTTTAAATCTCAAGCATGACCAAGTGCTTTAAGAGAAAAATGCTGCTAACACCCATAATAGGAAAAGAAGATTTGAAAAAGCAGTTTYCTTCATGGAAATCAGTGTTATTCCACGAATTCTGTTAAGATGAAAGGTGTTATTATTTTAATATTGTTAAGAATACACTCAACATGCATCTCTTCAGTGACAATTGATTTTTTCACTTCCATGTAAAAGCTGCTAGTTTGGCTAGTAGAGGTGAGGTTTAGASATGTTACCAAAATCCTGCCAGCTCACTTTGGAGAATGTATTTTTCTCTGGAGTGTTGCTCTGGAACAAGTGCATCAGAGTAGTGGCTTAGGTTATATCAGTCTTTAATGTCAGATACCAAAAAAAGATGTACTGACAGTGTTCTTGTGTGTTCTGAGATGAGTTATGTGGTTTTACTTGGTTTAAACTGCTACACTGTTAATTTTCACAGATTACTGTGCATTGGAAACAAGCTGTTGCTGCTCTTGTTAGGACTTCAGGAGCCAGRAGTATTCCTAGTGGCTTCTGATTTACGTGCTCATGGTGCTTGTAAATCAGAATTGCTTGCTAGCAATAGGTTTTTGAAATAGATCAGGAATTCCAAAAAGGTTTGTTTTTCTGCTGTCTGGCAACTGAGCCTTTTGAAATGGGAAGCAGGTTTAGAGAGCTTGAAGAGATATAGGCAGTTTTACATTTTCTGGATGGATTATAATCATCTTTTTGGCTTCTGCTGTTGGAATAGTTCAAGAACTAACTTCTCTCATTTTCTTAGTCAAGAAAATTTAGCTGWTGAAATCTCTCTGTGGAAATAGTTATGGAGGACAAAAGTTGTTAACTGTTTTAGAAAATCTGTTTCCCATCTTCCTGGTATCTTCGCCTTATTTTGGCAGGCTTATCTCAAAATGAAAATAGGATGTTGTTTAAATTGTTGTTGTTTATTAAATGTTGTTTTCCGCTGAGCATTTTGGGGTCCATGGCCATAATGTGATTTCAGCTTCTCACTGAACGTTTTATGAAGCCTRAAAGGAGGTTGTGTTTTGTGGATCATTAACTTTATCTGACAGAGAGGCATTTAGAGGTTTCATTTCTGTGATTTGTAATTGCTGCTTCAGTGAGATTTGGAAATATCTGTGGGATGAAGATGGCTAACTACACCTGTGGATTTAGGTCAGAGTTCTCAAAGGTACAAMTCAGCTATATTGTTTAGAAACAGATGCCTATTGGTTCAGAAAACAGGCCTGTRGGATCCCAGGTTTTTCTGGAGGATTAATTTATACTAAGTGAGACTCCTTTTTTACTTCCCTACACATCAGTACAGAAACAAAATCTGTCTTGGTACCTTCAGCATGTTTCAAATTTTTATTTATCCAGTGGAYAGTATCCATACAGAAGATCAGCACRAKATCCAGCAGAAAACTACCTCCCTTTTTTTCTGTCTGTGAATATAATCCAGGCAAGGTGTTGGAATCTGRTGTTTCCCTTCAGTCAGTCAGTCTCCTCTTCAGTAGATAAGGTTGGCACAGACATGGAAGGGAGCCATTCTTCTCCTGATGATCCTTCTGAGAAACATGGCATTTCCCCCAGGATAAGGAGAGCAGTTAAGATGTTATGTGTATACCTTAGTAACCTCATGAATTCAGGTAACTTAATAATTTGGGAGAGTACAGAATGGTAGCTGCATCTTAAATCCTCCCAGGAATCAGGAGCAGTAGGTTCCCTCAGAACATGCCCTTATAATATGTTGTTTGGAGGCAACATGAAAGATCTTGATCATCATTTTAGTACAGATTTTTTGAAAGTCTGCATTTAAAATAGTTTCCCCTTGCTCTGCATGAGATGAGCACAAAAAGACTGTAGTAGCCAGCATGAAAGGTGTTTATAAGAAGTGTGTATTTTCAAATGCTGTCCATCYTTTGGAAAGGAATTGCTTTGCTACYAGTCAAAGCAAATATCTGCAATTCTGCTGGATGAAAAACACCTCAGATGTCTGGCTCACAATGGATATAAGTATCTGGTTTTTTTCACATAGCAAGTTGCTAAGCATGTGGTTTCATGGCTTGATGTGGGTAGGTGTGGCCATGTACACATCTCACCCAGGGAAAGCTGTTACTGGCAAGTCCATTTTGTACATTTTCAACCAACATAACCCTTTTATTAGATGGCCATGTTACCTACTCGGGTCTGCTGTTGRTTTGAGAYCAGCACTTCAGTTTGGATAGGGGARATTTAGCATTAGCTTGTCAAAGGAAATGTGTTTGCTAAGTTTTTTTAAATGGCAGGAAAGTCTGAAAATTGCCTTCTTGAAGCTACTGTTCTATGTCAAATATATTTTGAATTCTGATCCTCTTTTTCTATTGCCCTTTCCCAATTAAAGGTTTATCTTTTTTTTTTAAATCCCTATATGACTATTAAAATTTGAATTATTACAGAAATGGGCAGAAGGACAAGATGAGTAATGAGGGAACAATCTCTTGTTTATAAATGGATCTTTAATCAGCAGTTTAGAAAGGCAGACTGAAAAATAAATTAAATAGAGCATGTTTTGAAAGTGTAGCTAAGCATGAATGTCASTTAAAAATTGGCCTCACAGGCAATACTTGATTACTTTTTTGTCCTTCTCTTAAAAGAAAACATGGACAAAACTTGAKATGTTTCTAGAAGATACTGTGAAAAGAGTCGGGAGGCCAGTGAAACATAGCAGAAAGAAGCAAGAAAAAACAATCCAGTATTTAGGGTATTTAGAGCAAGAGTTTCAGCTGTTGGTAGAACTAGTAAAATAGGTAATTAAATCAAATATGAAGCTTTTATTCTGTTATTATAACTTAAGCCTGCCACCACAGTCTGTAAAGACACACAGAGCTTGAGATCTGTCTCAGCTCCCTGTGCCAGCCTTACTTTGGACTTCAGGTGCACTCCCTTCTCATTTCCTATGRCACACAGAGCCCTTTCCCTGCTTTYTTCYAGTTCCCTTAGAACTGGGTCAGCTGTTCCTCCCAGGCCTTTTAGATGCCTTTTTCTCCCCCTCCTGGTTCAGGCTGCAGATGGCTCTTATTGGTTCTCCTCTTTATAGAGCAAGACATTCCACAGAATTAATGCTGTAAGGCTAGAATTTTGTGTGCTGGGATGTTTCTGTTTTGTTTCCAATATTCAGAATAAGAATCTTGAGAAAAAACAAAGCCAGCAATACAGTCACTCTTGAAAAGATGGAAGGACACCAGCTAGGGAGGAGTTGTTTGAATGTGATGACATTCAGTACACTTCTGTTGAATAGAACAAAGGCTCTCTTATGCTTGCTTATCACTCCTTCAGTATTAGGAAAGCTCTGAGAAGTGCTGTCAAAATGCATATGAAACCCAGCATGGGGAARTTGTTTGTGTGTTTCTTTTCTCTTGCTCCTGAGTTATTTTGATTATGCATAATTGGATACCCCTCACTAAAAATCCTATAGAATTCAATTTCTTTGTGGGTGGCAGGGAACTTTTTTTTTTTTTGCTAAAGTATAGGATAAAGAGGATTAGTATCTCAGATTCAGCTTCTATTCAGTCTTCTTCCTTAAAGATTTTGGGCAGCAATTTTACTCTGTGCTGTAGTTGATCCCCTCAGAAGTGGGACTACCAGTCTGTCTCACAACATGGTGACACTAAATAAATTATGTGGAATTTCAGGACATCATCACATGTGAAAGCACCACATATAATTGTTTTTAATTCAGTAATTCTAAAGGAAGCATGGAGTTGTCTTTATTTGTTGTGCTCATGGTTAGTGAGGCCTCATTTCTGGTCTGGGATTGAGTAGACCATCTCTTCATGCTGATATTTCTCACAATAGGTTGCTGTATTGGTCTCTAAACTAAATCTTAGCAGTCTGGTTTTATATTGAGGCACTTTACTGTATATAATCTTTAAAGGGTAATGGATGTGTCAAACAGTTCTTTGTTATTAAACCAGTTTTACAACAGAACGGAAACTAGTTTGCAGTTGGATGCATTTATTGAAACAGGTGCTTCTCAGGAGGACGTATGTGCAATAAGGAGCTTAAAGTAAAATTAAGCTGACACATTTAATTTTCAAATGCATGATGAATTAGACTTTGCTTGACCTTTCATCTTCTTGGGAAGAATGGGTACAGCCTGCTTTTAAGATGTCCTTTGTTAAATACGCTGGGTCTGTATTCAATGTTCTCTCACTGTGTGTTCTCTYGTGCTTTAATTTTAACAGTTTGCATTTTTTTAACATCTTTTATATTCAACCTGATGTTCAACTAGTCTAGTAACTGAATCACCTTTTTAAACCAAGCTCTTGTCCTCCCTCTACAGGAGAATTTGCAGCGTTCAAGTAGCCACAGCACCATGGCAGCACCCACTCTGTTATTTAAGTCTTGTGTTCTTACAGTTTCTTAACATCCAAACTTCCATTCTGCTCCGCAAAACCTAAAGTAATTTAGAAAAAATATCCTTAAGCTCAAAAGTGGAGCAGAATGGAACTGCCAGTCCAACACAATGGGAAAAAAAGAACCTTTTTGGGAACCAGAGTCCTCTGCTGCCAGTGTTTGTCCTTCAACACAAACCAGCACGTGCATTCGGAGACCCGCAGTGGCTGCCTGTGCCTGGCATCATTCCCCGGAGAGAGGAGAGGGCACTCGTGTGGGACTGTGCTGCTCGGGCCTGAGGGGATGGAGCTGCTGCTGCTGCTGCTGCTGCTGCAACTTAGGAGACTTGCTTTGGATGGTCTGCCGGTCAGCTTTCTCCCTCTAACTGTAACCATCAGAGGCTCAACATCTGATGAGTGCTAATTTCAACGGATCGTTTACCATTCTTGTCCTTTTTTTTCCTGGTGTACTTACTGATTTATGGACATCGCAGTATCCCCTTTTCACYGTATTGCAGTGTCAGACACTTCCATCTGTCTATACTGCTGGGATTTTCCATTAAAATTAAAACTGTGGGGCTGTGGGAGATGGAGGTGTTATTCTGAAGGCAGAGAGATTCGTCTGAAGGAAAAGGGGATGCTGCCACACCTTTTTTTCAGATTTACTTTACCATTTCTTAAAAAGAACAAACAACAACCACCATCCTTATCCTTTTTCCTTTTCCGATATTTTCTTGGTATGTGCATATACAACATCTTTGTGAAGGATTAGGTCGATCCTTCTTTTGTTGGTCCAGCAACAAACTGAAGTTTAAAAAAAATGTAGCGAGATTGTCCTGTCTTTTATTTTCTTTGTATCATATGATACAATGTATTTATCAAAGATGCTACTGCAGCATCTGAAGTCTGTAGAAATCCCAATACAGACTGAGTGGTGTATGTACCTACTTTAAAAGTTTTATTTTAAACGAGGGTGCAGGTTAATGCCAGGTACCTTACCAATATGTAATGTTTTCATAAATGAGGAAAAAAGTTCTCAGGTTGAATTGAATACAAATACAAGCTCCCCCTAGAATTAGACATTCCAAAAATTATGTTTTGGTACTTTCAAGAGCTTTTTTTAAAGGATTTTTATCCTGTTAACTAAACGTCCTCTGATAAGTGTATGTGTAAACGTGGAGCATCTTGTCCTAATGGCAAGTTGTCAGATCAAAACGGTACTTGCTGGATCCACGCTGACTACTCCTCACTGCTTTCCTCCCTGTCATCTCTTCCCATCTGTTTGTCTTTCCCTTTCTGTACGTTTTGCAAWCTAGGATGAAGGTGGCGGTATCTCCATTAGAGTGCTTTGTTTTCCTGTCCTCCAGTCSTGGTTTTCAAATGGTTAGTAGCTTTCTGACAAGTTACCCAGTCAGGGGGAAAAAAAGGCAACTCATAAAGTTCTGCACATCATTTACCTCTTGTAGAATATCTCGTGATGTGATCTGTTTGCAGAGTTCTCTGGTATGTGGTATTACCTGTAAATTATTTGTACAGAGGCAAGGCAGACCACATTGGAAAGAAACTCAAGCTCAGACAGGAGTTTTCAGAATTTGGTTCGTATCAGCCCTGTACCACTCCAGGTGAGGCAGGGGAACTGACCCCCCCTAGCAGGGAGGTTCTTGCTGGGAGGAGATGGGAGAGCATTTAACAAAATCATGACAAATAAATGAAGGAGTTAAATGTGTGTGAATGTGGTGTCTGTGCTAAACATAGATGTACCGAGTGAGGATGCTGTCCTGCCCTCCCTAGGCAAAGTTGGATTGTTTCTGTCTGCAGAAGGTTGCTCCCAGATGAAGTGAGAAACGCACATCAGAAGTAGAAGGTGCTTTTAGTACCCTGGAATTTTGAGGTGTTGTTGGTAGTCTGTTACGTTTGTCAGTAAAAATTTACTGGAGCTGTAGGGACCGGACTAATCTGAAGTGGGAATTAAAACTGAAATACTGTGTATTCATATTAATTCCACAAACATTAGCAAGATAGCAATAGTAAATGACTTAATAGTCACTACAAGAATGAAGTGATTCATGTTGGTACATGAATAGAATTGATTTTGTGTACAGGACGCATTTTAAAAACAAAAAGAAAAAAAGAAAACAAAAAAAAAGCACAAATTTTTTCTTGTCTGCTGTGGGTCTTCAGATGCTGTAAGGTTTTTTCCTTATTGAGATTGGCAGGAATTTCAAAAGTAGCAATAGCCACTTTCCCGTGTGGAGAAGCTCACGGCCGAGCAGTGGTRTGCAGATGGTGCAGTCAGAGTGCTCCCCAGTGATCATCTGAGGCCACTACTGAGAGATGGAGGGAGCCTGGGGCCACTGGTGTCAGCAGGCAGGTGASAGCATTTGCCAGGTCGGGCTCCCAGAGGGGGAAATCATCACTGCTTCTTTCACCCCACACTTCTCTCCAGCCCTTTATGGGCTGTGGCCCCATTTGTACACGTYGGGGGTACTGAGGTAAATGTTCTCTCAAATGAAACTGTTCACAGARCAAGTATGGACAGGTGGTTCAACACTCATTTGTTTCACAGAGCTTGTTAAAAGCCCTTGTTTCCTTCCATCAAGCAAAGCTGGCAGAAGATTCTCTGTTAGGAACTTTGTTCTATCTTTGCTTAAAATGAGCTTACTTTGGTGAAGATTCATTACCTGTTAGTCTACAACATGCTTCTTGAGCCCATAGGAAAAGCACAAGGAAAGTTGCTATCCTTGTCCATGCAAAGCACTTTATAAGTAACACATGATCTCTGGGGTTTTATTTTGGTTTGGTTTTTTTTTTTTCTTTTTTTAATTTGGGTTTGTTCATTTGTAGTTTTGTTTTTCTGTTTTGTTTCTGGTTTTGTTTTGGGTTGTTTGGTTTTTTTTTTCCCCCTGAGGAATGTGCAAGTTGTTTGGCTGCTGTTTAGAGAAGTTCTTTCAGGATGCATTTCTACTGGTTTTCTCGTTTGTTTCCCTCTAGATAGCTGTAGTAACATGTGTTTGTCTGTAAGAGTTCCCAGGTAATGCTCATGCAAAACTTTGGAAGAGATGTGGTTTGTAAATAATTGGGATTAATTCTGGTTTTATCTTTTCCTTCAGGAGTTTTTCGGGATGTCTTGCATGCCATCAGAACCAGTCTTAAAGATGCCCTGTAGATATTTAGTGAATGGGGGAACAAGAATAGTTGAGAAATAAGTGCTCTCTGTAGCAGTGGAATGAAGGAAGTAAACTGAARTGACCAATACATTCATGCCTGTTACCCCAAATTCCTTAAGCTTCTTCCTGGTGTCCCAACCACAGTGTGGAAATGTGAGTACATATTTTGTGTGTACATGTTGGGACAAACACCTAGAGTCACACTGCTTCTCTTATTTAGGATCTCATATTTAATAATCATTTGTAGAAGTACCAGTGTCCAGTCCCAGTTATTCATGTCTTTATCGACCAAGCACAGCCCTTCCCCTCTGCCTTTCCTTTTCCATAGTGTTAACAGAGGCCTGGTACCTGTTGCACCTTCCTGCTCAGTCTGTGATTGTTTCCCCAGGCATATTTGTCAGAACTGTGGCACTGTGGTAGAGCTCAAACCAAATGGCAGGAATATAGAGGCCAGGTTGCTTTGMAAGTTAATTTTTGTGTCAGTTAAATCCTACATGGCCCCACATACCATTAGATACCATTAGCTGTGTAAATTTTTTTTTTTCTAAATTCATGCAGGTCATTAAATTAAGCCACTCTTCTTTTTATGTTTGCCCAAAATAATCTTTTCTTGAATTCTGTAGCAGTTGATGATGATGCAGAATGTTTGAGAACAAATGCTGCCATTTTATCATGGCATTTTAGCATCACTTGGGTTACTATGTGCTAATTACAGGCAGAATTTGGCCTTTTGACATAAAATGAGTGAAATTCTGACYGTGGATGAATATCATGTCTTTACACAAATGCCCAAATTGGGGGACAAGTAACCTGAAGATCACACATGAAGTTTTCCTTCTGTGTTTGCCTGGTGGTATAAATKCATCCAGCACTTTACAGAAGGCTGAGGGAAGCCAGATCCCCAGACACCTCACAAACAAGTACAAATTGAAGCTTTGATATCTGGAGGGGCTGAATTTAGGAGAGAAGCATGTAGACATTTCACACTTTTGCAGCCTCTAGTTTTCATTCCCTTCCTGACTGTGAGCGCAGCGTGTGTAGCACAAACTCTTCATAGTACTGTAGACAACGTGTCCTCTGTTGATTAAAAAGTGTCACCAGTAGCACAGTGGGACAGGCAAAGCTTCTGGGTACAGTCAAGTTAAAAAGTATATGAGTCGATTTGTAGGACATCACTCTGAAGGTGCTGAGTATTCTGGTTTTCTGTGATGCATTTTACATAGAAGTTTGTGAAACAAAGTTAATTTACTGCAGCCTTGTTAGTGTGCATTTGCCCTTGGTGTTTGYTTTGGCCAGCATTTGAAATACCTTTCTTCACTGCTTCATTGCTTCACACCGACTTCACACCCACCACATGAAGTTTAACATGGACAGGTCCCAGATTGTGCACCTGGGATGGGCAACCCTGGTTGTGTGTATAGTCTGGGGAGTGAGAGGCTGGAGAGCACCGAGGGACCTGGGGATCCTGGGCCATGGCAACATGAGCCAGCAGTGCCCTGACAACCAGGAGGGACATCCCTGTCCTGGGGACAGCAGGGACAGCATCACCAGCCAGGCATGGGAAGGGATTGTCCCCCTCTGCTCTGGGCTGGGGGGGCCTCACCTCGAGTGTTGGGGGCAGTTTTGGATGCCACAATATGAGATATGAAGCTATTAGAGGGTGTCCAGAAGAGACCACGAGGATGGTGAAGGGTGTGCAGGGGAAGCTGTTTGAGGAGTTGGTGAGGCCATTTAGATCTGGTCAGCGTGGAGGAGACTGAGGGGAGGCCTCATTGCAGTTACAACTTCCTCGTGAGGGGAAGAGGAGGGACAGACACTCATCTCTGCTCTGTGGTGACAGTGACAGGACCCCATCGAGGGAATGGCCTGAAGTTGCATCGGGGAGGTTTAGGTTGGGTATCAGGAAAAGGTTCTTCATCCAGGGGGTGGTCAGACACTGGAACGGCTCCCCAGGGATGTGATCACAGCACCAAGCCTGACAGAGCTCAACAAGTGTTTGGACAATGCTCTCAGGCACATGGGGTGATTCTTGGGGCATCCYGTGCAGGGCCARGAGTTGGACTTGAATAASCCTTGTGGTTCCCTTCCAACTCAGCGTATTTTATGATGCTATGATTCTTATGTAATAAACTCTCAGAAGAGCAGAGCCAAGTTGTTAAAAAGTTTTCATTTAAGTTGCAACAATGCTAACACAGAAGCTAGAAAGTCAGCACCATGGCAGCAGTAACTATGAACCTGTGGAAGGAGGAAGCTTGAAAAGCTGCAGAATATRGACTACACCAAGTGTGAATTCAGATGAAAACTAACATCTCTCTTTGGTTTAGAAGAGAGCTACCAAGACCCTCTGTTCAATGGTTTACATAGCGATCCCCCAAAACAGTTTTTGTAGTTTGCCAAACGATCACGTGCCTTTGCAACCTTAAAAAGTACAACAGAATGTAAACCAGGTGCTTTGTAATTAGAGCAGTGTCTTTGGTTTGCATCTGCTGCAGTAGTTTTGTATATAGCTATCCCTGTAGTACGTAGTTTGGAGTTGGGCAACTTCTGTCAAGGAGCAAGGAGGGCAAAGAGCATTCCCCACAATACCACRTTTCAAAGCTAAAAATTGAAGGATACCAAATTTAGTTACAGTCAGCCTGCTGCTTGAAATCTGTTTGATCAACACTTAATAAGGTTCATTTAATTTAAATTAAGTAAGCCCTCCTTCCCCTCTGAAGACGCAGAGATCTTGTTAAGAAAGCTCTGAAGAGGCCCCAAGTTACACTCTCATAGCATCTTGGAATGAGATGGCAAATGAAAAATGAGAGCCAGATGAGGAGAAACTGATGGCTAATACTCATGTAATCGAATATATCAGACCATACAATTAGTTCCTTGTCCCAGAAAATGCAGTAAGTTTTGTTTTCTGGGATGTCAGTAGGTTTCCTCAGTTTTTCCTTGGGCCTGCTGCAGTTGCTGTTCAGTGCTCACATCCTGTTATTGCACATTAACTGGGGGAGATGGTAGGTGTCTTGTCAGCTGAGGGACAGCCAGTAGGTGTGAATTTGATTTGTTCAGATTTCAAACTGGTGATGTAGATTTCTGGCAGTACCTACATATCAGTGTCATATTTAACCTACTTGTCCATGAAGGACAAAAGAATGGGTTTGGATATTAGTGCTTTTTCAGATCTTTTCCTTTTCTTCACTGGGGTAAGACTTTTGGCATAATTGTAAATTATGAAGTTATGTCTAAATGCACTATAAAACATCAGACCAATTTTAATTTGTGTTCATTCCTTTTAGAAAACGAAATATAAAAAAAATGTTTTACCTATATTCCAGGAGCTGTCTGGAATCTTTCTACCTACCCCAAATTCTGCACTAAAAGTACATG